GGGTGTGACCTTTTAATCATCGTTTCACTTCAAGAGCCTGACTCATTTTTCTTTTCTGTCTTTTCCCCATTAGAATGTGAATTCCGTGAGAGCAGAGACTGTACCTACTTTTTTCACTGTTACATCTCAGCAGTTAGAACACTGGATGGCATGTCTTTAAAATTGATATTTAATTTTAAACCTTGATTTTTAAATTAATGTCGTGGAAACAAATAAAACATTTTAACATCATATCTTAGTTCCAAGTTAAACATGAAAGAACCACAGTGGTGCAAAAGTATACAAAAAAATTTTTAAATATTTGAGTACCTGCAGTTGAGGAAGTGCTGTTCAGGTTTAACCAATGATGCACGATTGGGTGATAGAATCAGATGCCATATCTGGATATGACTGTTAACTGTTCAGACAAGGAAGAACCTCCACTCCCACCACTGTAGATGTGATCTTTACCCAACAAAAAAATGGTAAAAGTGGAAAACATTTAAAATAAATTCAACTAATTGAAGTTTCTTTCTTTCTTTTTCTTTTTAAACAGCTCATTCTAATACAATGAAACCTTGGCAGTTGGTATTCTGAAGAACTGAGGATTTATGCTATGAAATACTTAATTTTCATCCTTGTGTCATTTTAAATGGAACTAAGTTCAAATGTTTAACTGCATTTTTTTTTATACAGAAAGCACTTGTTGACCTGTGCTGTAAAAGCATAGTAACATTAAATTAGACATAGTCACAGGTCAGTGAAGAAAATATGCTAATGTATTTTTATTGATAATTACCTGTCCTTAATTATTTAATTCTGATTATTTAATTTATAGTGAAATAACTGAAGGAGTATCATGAGACCCTTTTTTAAAATTTTTTTATAGTTTGCAATTTCTTTCTTTCTTTTTTTTTTTGGAAGGGTAGGTAATTAGGTTTATTTATTGATTTATAGAGGAGGTACTGGGGATTGAACCCAGGACCTTGTGCATGCCAAGCATGTGCTCGACCACTATGAGCTATTCTCTCTGTTATGAGACCCTTTAGAAAGGCAATGTGTAATAGTGGTACAATATCCAGTAAGAAAATGATAGTAGTATTGTCTTTGCCATTTTTAGCTCTGTGATCATGAGCAAGTTAATTAAATTCTTATTTTAAAATAAGAATGTGAGGGGAAGCATTTTTAAAATTATAAAGCACTAGGTAGGCTCCCAGAAAAACTGCAAGGTGTTTGAGTTGGAAATGCTTATCTGGATACTTTGTACCTAACAGCTTTTGGTTGGCTGATCAGTATTGCTCAATGGCTGACACTTTGCTCTTTTGTCCAAAGTGCACAGATAGGAATGCTTTGTCGGTCACAAGTTATCAGCATCAATTTTGTCCCTAGAGCACTCTTGGTTTCATCTAGCACTGTCTCTTAAAAACAGGAGAGTCCTTACAATATGGACATGGTCTTTACCCTTTTCAGGAATGGAATAATAAAGGGTGTAGAGGATTGGAACATAATTACTGATGTAGGACTAATCAAATCAAGTATCTCTGTCCATATATTTAGACTGTTTAACGTTTAATATTTTTAAATTTTTTTAGAATTCTTCTTAAAAGATACCTTTCTCGGTCAGTTCTCTGCCAGAAGACTCAAGGCTATGATTTCTGAGAGAATTTCTATACTAAATAAACTTTTTAAAGAACTTGGTAAATAAGTGCTTTTCACACCCTTTAGTAAGAACTAAAAACAGTACCTTCTTGTAGTTTAGGAGCAGCAGCTCTGTCATTGTTGATGGAAGGCCTTGGAGACAGAACCATCTTTTCAAAAATGAAAATTGCTTACCAAAAGTTCTCTTTAATATTTCCTTAGCATTCCGGGCATTCCTTGCACTCATCAGTTAATGACAGTGATACATAGACAGGCAGGTGGCTACATGTTCACAGGGTCTGAATCGTGAGCAGAACATAATGAAAGCTCTCTTCAGGCCCAATGTAGAAGTTGCTTTGTGTCGCTTAGTTATTGGAATCCCCCAGGCAGCCTAGAACAGTTAAAAAAAAAATGAGAAGGATTTTGAGTCCTGGCAGTAGCACTGGTGGGAAGGAAGAATGATAACGTCTTCCGAGACTCTAGGAAAGAATAAGTAGTAAACACTGAAAA